GTCGTTTTATGAAAAAGTAACATATAAAATAGGTTTTGGAGCTTAAATTTCTAAAATAGAGACACATATATGGTTCGATATTTTAGGAATAATTTGATTATGCTGGTCCTTAGATAGAAATATGATTGCTTCTGAAGTCTAATACCCTAAAATACAAAGCACTTGGACATTTTTTTAAGTAAAAAAATGTAACTCTTTACATTTTTGACAGAAATAAAAAATATTCTTTGTGATGTCTTTTTTCACATGAAAGTGGTAGAACAAAAGTGAAAGTTTCAGGACGGTTAAAACAAGTTAAACGAAAGGTTGATTTGTTTTTTTCCCCCCAACATTTAACCAATTAACTGCTTTTAAAAGAGCATCTAAAATGAAAGAAAGTGGGAAGCTTCCTTTTCTGTAAATGCCTGATTCAGAAATGGCAGATTGCTGGTTTATCAATGAGAGCGATGAGGTGGAGACGATCTAACATGAAGTTGTTAGCATTTAGAAAACAGGCTGTGATATTTCTGTGTGATCAGGAGAGAGGCAGCAGGAGGAGAGGGCATCACCGGGAGTCGGGGGGGTCCCAGATCCAGGCCGGACACGTCCACCATGAGCTGCTTGTTCACGCCCACATCGAAGCCTTTTAGGGACAGAAGGGCATTTTTGATAATAATCACAGTTTGATCCAGTTTTGGGGGGTGAAACACTCATCATACATCTGTCACTCACCCAGTTTTATGGCATAAGTCACAAGCTCCTGGATCTTGAACTGCACAAAGCCACAAAAGAGATAAATAAAACTGAAATAAATGGCAGTTTGGGATCAACAGAGATGGCCAGTACCTGTATTTTCCTGGCCTGGACAATGTCCCCCTTCTCAAAAGCGGACATCAGCTGGTGGACATCACATCCTAAATAGTTATATGTGCTGCAGGAATGGAAATAATCACAGGAATTACTAAAACGCAGACAGGTAAAGAAGTATTCCACAAATGGGGGGTTACTCACCTGCCAACTGCTCCATGGGCTCCCATAGCCAAGGCTCCTAAGAATTGCTGCAGAAAGATTAAACAACGATTTTATTTCCAGTTTGTCTCATTGCAATATTCGTTTAATAACAAAGTTCTGAAGAAATGCAGATTAGAATGATAGTATTCCCCAAAATAAACAAGATAAGGACAAATACAAGTCTCAGAGAGCCAACAGGTGGGAGGAAAGTCCAGAATAATTATAGAAATAACAAGCACAGAAGCTAAAAATGTATAATAAATATGAAATGAGCTATGTAAAATATGGAAAAAATATATAATGAACCTTTGACTAAATGAGCTGCACAAAACATTTAAATTCCCTCTGGGATAAATAAAGTATTATTGAATTCAATTGAATTAAAACAATGACTGGTGTGAATAACAAGCACATTTTTAGGTAGTACGTATGGGACTGTGTCCACCTGCCTGGAAAACAACTTTACACTTTTACAGCTTTTTTCACTTCCGATCTGATCCCGGCCTATCAGAGCATGTATTAAAGTTTAAAGTTATTTATCTACTTACTTAGTTGTCAGACTCATGTGGAACAGGGATTTACTCTGATAACAACTTAATGGTTAGGACACAGACCTGTGGGTTACAGATGCTAATGCTAATGCTAATGCTCGTGTGGGATTGGACTGGATCTGGTGTCTGGACCAGCCTAACGTTTGCATCCAAATTCATGCTTTAAAACAGGGGTGTCAAACTCTGTTTGTTATCATATTTGGCCCGCGAGACAATACCAAATGACTACGAAAAAGGATGAAAAGGAGAGCAGAAAACAGGAGATTTCTGGACGAGTAAAGTTTATTTTGATATTTAATTCAGAAAGCTGTGAATAGAAATTTTAAAAAAAAATTTATGTCATAAATAAATGCCATTGATGTGTTTTTTTTATTTTAATTTGATTTTGGATACCTCCACTATTAAGTCATATATAATGTAATAAGAGTTGTTTGTTCCGTATTCAATGTTAAAGCAAAAAAAGCCTAGTAGAAATAAAAAGATGCCCGTCCTCACAAAAATTCAGTGGGGGAAATAAGTATTTGACCCCTTGCCGATTTTGCAGGTTTGGCCACTTACAAAGAATGCAACGATCTATAACTTTAATCATATGTACATTCTAACAGTGAAAGACAGAATCCCAAAGAAAATTCCAGAAAATCACATCATATGAATTTATAAAAATTGATAACCATCTGATGAGGAAAAATAAGCATTCTTTGTAAGTGGGCAAACCTGCAAAATCAGCAAGGGGTCAAATACTTATTTCCCCCGCTGTATCTGGATGGAATCGGCCGGCAGGAGAAAATGCAGATCCAGACTCCAGATCCAGTTTAAAGTCCGATCACACATTAGTGGTCATTTTCCAGCACACCCATTAGCATTAGCACTAGCATTAGCATCTCCTGACCCACAGATCTGTGTCCTAACCATTAAGGCATGTTAATTTGAACCTGTGGGTAAAAATGTCAGTTGTGTAGTTTTATTTTATCCTTAAGGACGAAAAAGATAAGGAGCTGGATGTAAAACAGAGTCAATAAACTATTTTCTATTCTGGTTGTTTGTGTGTTTTACCTATTTTAATACAGTTTACAACATTATTTGCACTTGTTACTGTTCACTGATGCCATTTTCGTTTGTTATAATTTGGTCCATTTTGTGTTTGTCCCTGAATAAACAGGTCAGTCTCTATTTACCAACCAGCGTGTCTTATTCAGACTCCCCTAATTCAGCTGGCTAGTTATCAGAGTAAATCCCTGTTGAACATGAGTCTGACAACTCAAGTAAGTAGATAAATAACTTTAAACTTGAACACATGCTCTGATAGGCCGGGATCGGATTGGAAGAGAAAAAGCTGGATCGAGAGGGCAGGAAAGGCTTCTGAGAGGCTTCCCGGTTCTTACTGAAAGGACACGGAGCCGGCCTCCAGCGTGCAGCGGGACGGACTCTGGTCGTTGAGCTTCCTGAAGAGCTGCTTGGCTTGACTCTGGTACTGCTGAAGATCTCGGCCCAACTAAAGATGGAGGACAAAAATCTGCTCAAACAGAGTTTACATCCAACTCAGACAAAGAAACGGGACGGATAATAGGGGCACTGAAGTGACTTTTCTGGTGAAATCACAAGCAAACGTCACTGGGAGGGAAAGCCGGGAAAAATCTGAGTGTCTCTACTTGCAGAACCAGAAAGAAACAAAACATAAAAGCAGCCTGGGGTTATTTCTGGCCTTGCAGAGTGAGACAGTGTTTGCTACAGCATCACAGAAACACGAATGATGAAGCACAGAGCAGAGGCTCAACAAACCTTTTCACTTCCCTTTTTGAAGGCAAATGAAAGCGGAGGAGAAGAAGTTAGACTCTGGTTAGACGTGCACAGATAAAAAAAACAGCTCATCATGATAGCAAAGTCATGCACACATGTTGCTTCTGGGGGCGCTCTCTAATCCAAATCCTGACTTTAAGCTCAGATCTTTTCGTGACATTTACCAGAAATGAGTCGAAAATGACAGAAAAGCTTCTCTGTTTCATTTAGTGAGAGAAAAGCTGAGTCCAGCCCCTGAGATCAGAGGCTGCTCACCATGACGACGGCTTATTTCTGCACTGAGAGGCCACAGC